CTAGCTGAGGCCCTGATTCATGCACTGGATGTGAAAGCCTCTTTATTTTGGGCTAACCCTGAGAAGAGATCATGTTATTCCAAGGCATTTCCATGATCAGGAGCTGAAAACGGAGCACGCCTGCCAAAAACCCCGAGCAAAGCAGGAAGCGTTGGGAGGAGTAGCCTGTCTCCTTGTTTGAGGGTTTGTCCGCTACCTGTGACCTCCACGTTGGCCCAAGGAAGCTTTGGTAGAGAAGTGACAGCAGATAGACCATCTCTGTCTTCAACCAGAGCATCTGTGAATCACCCATACCAGACCTTCACAAGACTAGGCCTATGAACACTCCCTCATGGAGGAAGGGGTGGGATTTGGGGCCCGTGCTTCAGACAGAGCACAGAGGGAGTGCAACCCTCTAGGGGCTGTAGTGAGGTGGCAGCTGATGGGTCAACGGGGGCTACCAGGAAGGGAGGCAGAAAGGTGGTGCAGAATCTGGATCACATGGCTCAGTCACCCCTCACCAAGAGCAGCTCCACCTGGGAGATGGTGTGTCTACAAAATGCTATGTCACAGGGAGATGGGCTGCGTAATTTGTACTGGTGGGGAACACAAGTCTGGGGCCCCTTGTTCAGAAAGCATTGAGATTCGCAGGATGGTGACGCTAAAACAAGGGGACTCTTTAGCTTGGGGTCTCATGCCATGTGCCTATGAACCTGGCCTGGGCCCTCTGTCCCCAATAGAGGGCATGGGTAGCTTTCTCCCTCTTCCCCTGGCTTCCATACCAGCGAGGTTGAGCAGAGATACAGACATTGCTCTGCCCTACAGTGTGCTGTACTGTACCCCTTGAAAATGCGCCCACAGTGGGCTTATGCTCCCCTAGGCTCTTTCTAGATAGTCCTGGTACCAACACCAAGAGAGGATAAAATCCCTGTGTGAGGCAGAGGGTGGGGCAGTAGGGTGTGAGGGTGCCTCAGAGTCAGGTGCTAGATATGCTGCGGGGTGCCTCACTCCCCTCCCTCCTGTGCTGTGGGAGTGTCTGTCTCATCCCTCCCTCCTGTACGGAGCTGGAGGCAGAGGTGGGAAGATATCTAGAGATATGTTTTTGAGTGACTGTCCTGCTCCTCTCCGCTAGACTTTAGAGTGTCATAACTGTGAATAAGGACAAAGTAGGAAGCCCTGAGCGTTCCCGTGTCTTATCTGAGAACCCCCTTGGCTCTTTTGCCTGTAATTAGAATGAAATAGTGAAAATAAAAGGCTTGAGGTTTCCAATAGCTTCTGCTTTGCAGGGCCCTGTTAAGTGACAATATATTTTTTTCTTGTAAAAGCAGTTTCAGGGGACGAGCAGGAGTCTCTTTTCTCTTTGTATATGTGTGTGCACACATGGGTCTATGTATATGTGCAAGTATATCTTTGTGTGTCCCATATATTGCATGTGTGTCTGACATATTGTGTGTGCACATGTGTTTGTGAGTGGCCATGTAAGCCATGTGTGTACACATGGAGTATCAACATGTGACCTCTGTTGTACATGTGCATAACAGCCATAAGGACATCTTCACACATGGTGGGGTATCTGTAACTCAGCCCTTTACATCCGTAATCTTGCTTGTTGTGAACAGCGGGAAGCTGCTTATCCACCCAGGGAAGCAGATGCTGGATGAATATGTGCTGGGTCTGGGGTGACCAGGAGCTGCAGGTCACTCAAGGATCTGCCTGCTGTCCATTGCCTCTGCTCACCAGTTCCTTTCTCTTTTTTGCTAGACTGTGGCTTCCCTTTCTCAGCCTTAGCGTGCTTGATCCTCTGGGCCCTTGTCCTATCCCATATTGTATCTCTACATGACAACAGACTCCGATCTTTGACAAGAACTGGCCAATTCACCACATGCAGCATGCTGCAGACTGATTTGTTTGATTGTCGCACTGCATTTTCTACACTGATACTGACCTATTGACTGATCTTACTGCTATTTAGTCCACCAGTAGATGCTTCCTTTGGGTCAGGTTGAAGCAGGTGTGGAGGAAAGAGATTATGGTCATGATATAGATACCATGGTGTGGGGGCACAGCTTAAGAATTTTCCTTTAAAGGGATGTAGAGGCAGAAGAGAGTGATGAAGCCCTGTCATCTGTGGCATGACCACCCTAGTCCCTGGGGAGGCTGTGACAGTATGACTGCCCCTCCAAGAAGGCAGGACTTCCCTTAGCAAAGTAGGTATGAATGCACAAAGTGAGTACACCTGCAGGTTACCTCCTGAGGATCACCAAATGACTGATGCTCTAATCCCGGTACCTCAGGATGTGAGGGTCTTTATAGTGGTAATGAAATTAATATGAGGTTATATTATGAGGGTGGATCCAGTATAACTGGCATCCTTGTAAGAAGAGATTTGCAAACATACATGTATGGCACTGTGAAGGCCTGAGGGAGCAGTCACCCTACTAGCTGAGAAGAGAGGCCAGCAGCAGGCCTCCCCTCACACCCTCAGAAGGAGCCTGCCCTGTCCTTACCTCCATCTTCAATTTGATCTTCAGAACTGTGAGGCAGTGAATTTCTGTTATTTGAACCACCTAGTCTGTGGGTTCAGAAGCCCTAGAAAACTAACATATACCCTAAGAAAAGCTTCTTGACAAAGGACAAAGGACAGGGGACACTAATACTTCTGGAGTGGTGGGCTGGGGCTGCAGATGCCCTGTGAGCATGGTAGCTAGGGGCTCAGTTCCTGGGGCTATGGTCAAGCTTTGCCTCAAATTCTTGGCCTGGATTTTAAAAAAATACATGACCATCTATCTATCATCTATCTATCTATCTATCTATCTATCTATCTATCTA